AGTATTATGCTCAGTGAAATAAGCCAGGCGGGAAAGGCAAGCACCAAATGATCTCATTCATATGTGGAGTATAAGACCAAAGAAAAAACTGAAGGAACAAAACAACAGGAGAAACACATAACCCAAGGTTGGACTAACAGTTATCAAAGGGAAAGGGACTGAGGAGGATGGGTGGTGGGAAGGCAGGGATGAGGAGGGGGAAAAAGAAAGAGGGCATTATGATTAGCATGTGTCATGTGCGGGAGGCACAGAGAGGGCTGTGAAACACAGAGAATCAAGTCGTGATTCTGCAGCATCTTACTATGCTGATGGACAGTGATTGTAATGGGGTTTGTGGGGTGGACTTGGTGAAGGGGGTGTTCTAGTAAACCTGTTCCTCACGTAATTGTAGATTAATTATGGCAAAATAAAAATAATAAAATAAAACTAAGAAAATAAAATAAAATAAACAGCTGTGTGTTCTGACAACTGGGGACACTGTTCCATCTGCCCGCCATTCCTCTTACTTTCCCTTGATTGCCTGTCAGCTCTTTTGGACACGTTTTCACTTTGAAAACTGAAAAATGAAGTTATTCCCATCGCCTATGTTTAACAGGCACATGCATATTCCCACTGGTAGTTTTCCAAAAACCCACCACGAGAGAAGCATCAGAATGGGGCATGTCTGTATTCCCAGTTTGGGGGAGCAGCTCGGGTGTTTTACCCCAACAGGTCGTGACGCTTCTGAGACCACCTTGAAAGAGCAGGACTGGTGGGTGTTTCCTCCTGTAGCCCTGGGATGAAAGTGGGGCTTTGGATAGGAACCTCGCTCTGCACTGACGCTGTGCTCACCCTTTCTGGAAACTTGCCCTTGCGATAGGCATGGGTTCAGGAGGGGAAGAAGAAAAGACATCACTTGGGTTTTGTCCTCAAAGGCAGGGAGTCTTGCTTCAGGGCTAGAGACCTAAGCCGGCGACCACGAACGGGGCTGGGAGCAGGGGCCAGTGGGGCAGCAGTGAGTGGGCGTCTAGTCCAGTGGTGGAGGCTGTGGGCCTGGTGTGGCGTCTTGAAGGGTGAGTGGGCGAGCCAAGTGGAATGTGTTAGGGACGGCGGCGGGGCTGTGAGCAGTGGGGCTCAGCCAGCACTGCCTGGAGACCAGACCATTTTTCTCTGGGAGAAAAGACAAAGCTTCTTAGTTGCAGGTGTGTGACATGGGGGCAGGGTTCATGGCGTCCAGAGCCATAAGCCTGTTCTGCATGGTCACGTGGGGTTTTATTAAACGCAGCGGCTCCTCCTGCAGCCTTGCAGTAGAGACCAGAGGGAAGATGGATGTGAGGCAGTGGCTGCCTGCTTCCTGCGTGGTGGGCAGGTTTTACAGGGCAGGGTGAAATGGGATTTTAGATGTGTCTTGTTTTCTGTGTTTCAAAAGTGCTCTGCTTGTCATATTTCGTATTTCATCCTTTCTCTAGAATGTGGTTCTCAACTGGGGATAAATATTTTGTCCCCTAGGTGACAGTGAGTAATAACCAGAGACTTGTTTGGTTGCTGCATCTTGGGTGCAGGGTTGGGGGCTGTGTTCCTGGTATCTAGGAGTAGAGACCCAAGATACAGCTAATCATTGTACAGTTCACAGCCCAGCCTACAATGATCCTCCAGCACATATGTCAGTAGGGCCCAGGTGGAGAAGCATGGCCTAGCATTGCATTGGCTGGCTGGCCCACCTTTCATATATTGGATGTTTGGATTGTTTCTGGGTTTTACCTTAGTGTAGACATTCCTTGTAGAGGCCTTTTGCTTTACAGACACGTGGCAGAGTTGCAGTTATGGGTTCTGCCTGTCCAGGTGGCCGTGTCGGTGTATGCATCCACCCAGGGTGCAGGGACTGCAGACACTGGAAGCAGCCCAACTTTCCGTCAACGGGCAAGAAGATAAAAATGTGGCATTTACATACAGTTGAACATTATACAGCCTGAAAGAAAGGGTGCTTCACTCTCAATGCAACATGTATGAACCTTCAGTGCTTTAACCAGACACAGGACAAACACTGTGTCATCCCACTTACTCAGGGTCCCCACAGTGGTCATAGTCATGAAAACAGGATGGTGGTTGCCAGGCGCTGGGGAGGGACATGTGGAGTTGTTTGGTGGATACAGTGTCTTGCAGGATGAAGTTCTAGAAATCTGTTCTGTATGATATGGGACACAACGCTGTCAAACTGTAACTTTGAAAATGGTTAAGAGGGTACATTTTAAATCGCTTTTTAGGGTCCCTGGGGTGGCCCGGGGTGGCCCCCACAGGGAAGAAGGAAGGGGAGCCTGCTGGGCACCTTTGCCTCTGTCCCTTGCTCAGTGTGGAGTTTTGGAAAGTGTAGCTCCTATTTTAACTTTTAACTAAGTAATGTGCCTGAGCTACAAACACCTGAGCTGTGGGTATTGTACTTGTGGAAGGGCCATCTGGGGAAATGTGCATTTCCATTTTTTACCCTTTGCCTGGTTGCAAATCCACAATAAGTAAACCATGATTTATTTTAAAGAGGCTTTTGTGTCTTAGACTGAGAACTTAACTATCCTTTCAATCACATTTCATTTGTTACATGGGAAGCATGGTCTGGTTTCCACATAATTAACTTGAGCTGAATTTCTGTAAAATACCCCATTTCTAAATGGCAACTTTCCCATACTTCAAAAATTTCTGTAGGGCTAGAGTAGCTAAACAAGAGAAAAAAGAAACTTTAGGGTTAAAGTAAACAATAAGAACATCTAGGATAACAGCTTCAGGGTTTCTTTTTTGGTCAATCTTACACAAAAGCACTTAGAAACCACTCTACCTAAACAGCTTGGGTATTGTAAAGGACACGGTCTCCCTTTACCACTTAAGCTTCTAGTTTCCTCATATTAAAATCAAGAATGGGATCACTTGTCACCACCTTGAGCAGCCAGATGCTTAGGCTAGGCTATCATCCCAGTTTGGACACCAACGAATTATAACAAGTGAAATGGTTTGTAAACAGACTTGCCCACTACGTTAGAGCTTAAAAAATATTTTCATAATTATCTCTCTTACACTCCTGATTGGGGATATAAGATAACCCACTCTTACCACCGCTTTTTGATGATAAAACCAAGACAAAAATTTAAGTGACTTTCTCCAAATCGAGTAAGGGGGTAGAAGCCAGTCTTGGATCCCAGCCTTTTGAAACCTTCCCCGATGCCCGCTCCCCACCCCCACCCCCACCCCCACCTGCGCCATAACGTGATTTGATGATTCCCTCCCCGCTGCCGGGCGTGTCTCCACTACAGTGATGTGGAATTTCTCTCTCTCAGGGTCCAGGTAGGAACCGGAAACCGTACAGTGATCCAAATACCAACACAGCCCTTTGCTCGTGGCTGGTCTGTTAGGCAAGGCTGAACACCTGCCAGAGCGACTGTGAGACCCGCAAAGCCTAGAATATTTATTATTCTATAGACCTTTATGAAAAAGCTTGCTGGCCCCTGGTGCAGAGAAATCATTAAGTATTAACAGATGCTGCTTATCGATCTATTGTTGAGTGATTAATTGCCACGGAGTCAAGAGACCTGTAGAGGCAGGCATTGCTGCTGTAAGGGGCCACCAGTGAGACCTTCGTGGCAGCCATCAAGGCGATGCTGCTATGGCTCCCTGGGGTGGTGCTCACCAGAGTGCCCGTGGAGCTCACAAGGAAGCCATCTGTGCCACTAAGCGGGCCACTAGGCGTTTGTCCAGTGGGCAGCCAGAGGGAAAGCAGGTTGGAGCTTGGAAGGGAAGCCCTGTCCTCCTCCAGGGCACCCCCTGCAGGGAGCTTACCATGGGACCAGCTGGTCAAGGAGAACTGGTCACTGGGTCTGGTGCCAGGTTTCAGTGTCGGGCGGTGAGGGTGGATCGGGAGGTGGGAGGCAGCTCGTTCCCTGGCATAGTGTTGGAGTAGGTTCTCGGCAGACCTTTCTCCTGGACTGTAACTCTCCTGGACACCCGCTGCTGTTCGGAAACGCTCCGAGTTGCTCTCCAGGAACTGGCCCTGACCATCCCTTGCATGGATTGGCCTGTGCTCTCTGGAGTGTCATACTGACGTGATCATGAGGAACCGAGGCTCCATCTGGAGTGGAAGCACACACACCTGGGGTACTACCCTGCCCCCAGGGGTATAAACCTCCCCTTTGGTTCCGTGTCCAGCTGACCTGGGTTGTGAGCCGCTGCTCCCAGCTGCCTGATCCCGGTTCAGCCCCTCTCCCCTCTCACAGCCTCCCTGAGCCGTCAGCCCCTTTCGTGTTTCTGCTTGGACTTCTGCTTGCTAATCAGAGCCACCCCAGCGTGCAGGTCTTACCCTTGCTGTCCAGCACTTTTCCCTCACCGTTTTGGGGGTCACCGGACGCCTTTGTGCACGACCTTGTCGCCTTTCACACATCTCATCAGCATCAGCGTGGCCCTGTGCACTAGCCTGGCTGTGTCCCTTTGTCCAGGCAACACCTGCCTTCATGTTAGGGCATCCTGTGACCATTGCTCACTTCAGGGGGGGCCGGAAGGAGTGTGGTAGACTCTTCAGAGTATTGTAGCCTTATGTTCCTAAGGATTGGGCTAAATGCCAGCTTGCTCATCCGGGCCAAAGCACAGGAGGTGGGGTTTTGGTTTGTTTTTTGGGCACTTTATCATTTTCCTTGTTGATGTTTTTGTCAACCACTAAAAAAGGAAATTTTTCTTTGAAACCGAGATTCTCCTGGTTTTGAGAATTGGCACACAGACATTTTGATTTGTACACAATTCCTAATGTAGGTACTACGGTTCTAAAAAGCCACACATCATTGTGATTGTCGTTTCAACAGTTAGTCCAGTGACTTCCCAGCTTAAAATGTGGAGGCAAACTTTCCTTACAAGGGTATGAAGAGCCAGTGTCTTCCACATTGCTAAGCCATTACACCGCAGGGCCCGCTCCTTCGCAACTTAACATAAGCACTGGGTGCTTAAATTCTCAGCTCTTAGCTAGCACACTGACAGAGTTATTACGGAAAATGGACGAGCCATGTCCGCAGACAGGGAAAGCCAGGATCAAGGAGCGGTTCTCTTCAGGAACCGCGGTAAGTAACACAGCGTGAGCTGTGTTAAATGCACAACTGTGTCTCCAGGTGGCCGTTGAGCATGCTTGTCCTGTCAGATGTAAAAATTACCCCCACCCCATGGAGTGTGAGGTTGATACCCAAGACGGCAGAGCCTCCTGGAATTCAATATCCCACTCTTTTTGGGTTGTACCAAAAATGAAACAACCAGCAAATGATTTCACCTCTTTATGTGTAAATACTCTGTTTTTTTTTTTTTTTTTTTTTATAACTGGGATGAGGTGAGATTCTCTTGTTCTTACAAATGTTTCAAAGGCTCCTAAAAAGCTTGCATTTCCGAAATAGTGGAGGAGTTATTCGTCTGGATTGTTCAAGCAGACAAGGACCACTGGTAGGACACGATGTACGGTACTAATCCCGCCCTCCCGCTTCCTCAGAGGCGAGGCTCCCCGCCATTTCAGTTTCGCCCTTGTCTGCAGGTGGCTCTCCCGTGGTTTTGCGGTACCTCCTGCAGCCTGTTTTCCTTTTACACTTTTTTGTCAGAAGATTTGTCCTTGTGCTTCGCTTCCACTCTTGCAGGAGCAGGTGTAGCTGACAACTCCTCATCTCCTCTTGGGCTCCTCCGTCCCCCTGCCCTCTGTGGGCCCACCTTGCTCTCGGGCAGATTGGCAGCAGCCGCCCTGCTGTCGGGGGCTTGGGACTGCAGGAGTTGTTGGGCAAGAGCCTTCTCGAAGCTGGGCCGCCCGGCTACCCATTGCTCCCCCGGCCACGGGGACCGGTAATTACTATTTGTAAAATCTGCCCATCTAGGGGAGGGGTTGTCAGTGCTGGACGGGCTCCTGTTGTTCAGAGGTGCACTCTCAGAGTATTTCACAACTGGCTACCTCTCCTGGGTGTGCCGGGTTTCCTGTTGGGAGCAGCTGAGCCCAAGGCGAGTATCATAGTCGAGCAGACTAAGGAGGTGACTTGGGTGAATGTTCGCCTGTCAGGTGGCATTGCCTGGTCATGCAGTCAGCTTACTGTCTGGACGGTGGGGCATTCCTGAGACAGTCATGACTGAAAAATTGCAGGTGTGATTCATGGCCCTGGAAATACGATATTGGACCTAAAAAAAAAAGTCATTCTTCCTCTTTCATTTTGATGTTTGGTGTTGAATTTTCCAAATCACTCAAGCCTGAATTGTGTCACCACCAGCTGACCTGTTTGCTTCTGCCCCCTGCTACCACCCCATGTCTGTCTCTGATGACATCATTAGCTCTCCACAACTTCCAGAGTCCTTATTTTTGTTAATTTTCAGTCCTCTCTTAGTTTGAGCCTTTGTTTCAATCTGGGCCCCCATTGCTTCCTGGATACTGCCCAGATTCTGATTCAAGCTCAAGGTCCTCATCTTCCCCGTTTTGCTCTTATCTTCAAACGCTCTCCTACGAGAGCTTTACACCCTGCCAGGCTGACATTCCTCAGCCACTCCTGGGCTTCCTGTCTCTGTGTCTGTCCTCATGTCAAGACCCCACTGAGGAATGTCCTCCCCCAGCCATGCTCCAGGTTTGGAGCTGCTGTTCAAGGCCCTTCTGTTCTGGAAGCCTATTCATCTGCAGCTCTGAGACAGAGATGCATGTCGCCCCCACACTCCCCCTGCGCTGGGCACACCAGCTGTCACTGGGTGTGCTGTCCACCGCCAGGATAAGATTCCTTTGCCTTTGTGGGTCTTCCTGCTTGATCATCTGAAACATCCGTTCAATGAAGTATGAAAACTTTGTTCCAAAAAGACTTTGGTTAACTGTTTATTTTTCCCCTGCTGTTTCCAGAGAAAACATTTCCATAAGAACAATAACGCATTCTGCACCGTGTGGGACATTTAACCCTTTGTTGGGGTTGTAAGACTGATTTTCCATACAGAATGCCAGTTAATAACACCCCCCGGAAGATCAGCCTGGGGTGTGAACTTGGGGCTTTCGGTCTGTAAGGGGGACCAGCATGGCCCACGGGACTGGTGTCATGGGTGGAATGATTTGTCTCTGCCTGCGTGCCTGCCTTTTTGCAGAGGGGCCTGGCTGAGTTAGAGCAAGTGAGCCTGGAGTTTTTCCCGAGTGCTGTTGCACAGGGCTATCCTGTTGGCGGCTCTCACCTTCTGCAGCCCGTAAGCAGGTGCCTCCACTGCTTGGTGCTACTCTGCGTTGGTGCAATGCCAAGGGCTGGCTTTACTTTGTAACGCACAGGACGGCAGCCAGATGCACGAGGGTCTGTATGGGTGACATCCTGTAGAATGCTGGCAGGCAGAGGGTAGAACCAGCTTTACATCATTCTTCACCAAATTCAAACCTGAGCAGTTCTAGCTAACGTGAGACATTGAGGGTAAAGAGTATAGAATGGAGGCTTTCAAAGCTGCCTTTTCTTTTTCAGCTACTTTTCCCATGAGTGCACTAAAGGTGAAAGAAACCAGGTGTTGGTTAAAAAAAAAAAAACCTCAGCCACTTAATCTCCAAAGCCAGACCCGTTTTGCTGGGAGGTGTAGGTGGAGTTGTGAGGGAGGGGCGGGCAGACGGAACTTTGGTGGGTGGTCTGCATTCACCAAGGGGCTTTGGGAGGCTTTCCAAGAAGTACCTGGATGCTCTCCTCCTGGGAGAAGTGGGAGAGTACATGGCTGTGCTTTGAGAGAGTCTGGCAGAAGTTGTTCATACAAGGCCCTGTGGGCACCCAACTGAAAACCCCATCGGGTCATGACTGACTGAGACAGGTGGTGTGTCACCTCCAGCATGTGCAGCCCTTCAGGAGTTGCCCTGAGGCCCTGAGAGTCATCAGAGTGAATTTGCCTCAATATACTGTTGTAGTACTTGAATTCAGGGATTTCCTTGCAGGGGCAGGGACATATATGTTCACTCTTACACCATGTCAGACTCATTTTAGTGTTTTCAGATACTGAAAAATGCATAAGTTTTATATGGGAAAACAGACACACATGAAATTTACCATCTTGGTCATTTTTCAGTGTATGATTCAGTGACATAAAGTATATATAGTGTCGTGCAACTGTCACCACTCTCCGTTGTCACAACTTTCTCATCTTCCCAACTGAAACCCTGTACCCCTGAAATGATAACTCTGCCTTCCCTTCCCCCAGCGCCTCTAGCCCTTGTTCTACTTTCTTGCCATAAACTTGGGTATTGTAAGTACCCCTCAGAACCATGTGAGTGGAATCCTACGGTATTTGTCCCTTTCGTGATGGGCTTATTTTGCCTCACACAGTGTCAAGATTCATCCCTGGTGTAGCCTGTGTCCGAATTGCCTCCGTTTTTTTGGGCTGAATAACATTTTGTTGTATGTAGACCCCAATTTATTTACTCATTCACCTCTGGATGGACATTAGAGTTTCCAACTGAAATGCATAACTGTTTGAAGGCAAAAACAAGATTCTGTCCTTAGAAATTGGATGGAATGAACTATACTTTGTAAACATGCCTTTTTAAACACTGTTCAAAATATGGGCTAAATTATTTTTCTAAGTAGGCCCCTATTAGCACATGATTGTCAGTATTTTCATGTTGTCCTTTAACTAAAGGTTCGGTGCTTCCCTTGAGCACTTTTCCATGCTGTCTTTCTAACTCAGCCACTGTGGAAATTGGCTTCTCGGTTCACACCATGTTTCTACTCTCAGTAGAATAGAAATTATGAAAAATCAGCTGTATCCATAGAGTTCATTGTTTAAGTCCCTTAAACGAGATTGAGGTTCCTATTTATAAGATCTCCTTTTGTGACCTGGGAGATTTCTCAAAGTGATGACATGATGTATCAGTTTAAGGGAGAAATATCAAAATGTACCGTAAAAAGGCCCTTGTTTTCATCTGTTTGTTGTGGATAAGTAGTTAATGTTAAATCCTGAGGGTATCCCTTCCGGGAGAAAGTTTTTCTTCATTCTGAGTAAGGCCTGTTGTAGATGGAGGGTTTCAGCCAAACGCTGTTAGGAACTTACTTGTTTTGCCTTATCTAAGCTTTACATTGAACGTTAGTGAAACTAGGCTCTTTAAAAAATTATTGCTAAAAAGAAAACACCTTAGCGGCTGTCGCCAGTAGCGCCTGCGCTACACAGGTTGTAAGCCGTGTTATCCTTGTCAGTTCTAGGCAACGAGGAGAAGGTCCGAGTTCCAGCGTCTGGGGCTTGTAGCTGGGAATGCACATGGATAGGAAAGGCTTCTGCGGGCTTTGAAGCAGGCGGGATTCCTGACAGTCAGGAAGAGAGAAGACGGAAGTCTAAAGGAAAGATGTCCTCCAGGATGCCAGGGGTTGGAAAGACCCAGAATCCTTGGGCCTGTGGGGTTGTGGAAAGCCCAGGTGTGGAACTTGACTCCTTATCCTCATCCTTAGTTTCACTGTCTTTGGACCCCGGCTTCTGCACGCTGCCAGGATACCCTTCTCCGACTCTGGGGGGGAACAGTAAGCGGACCTCCTGCCGCAGCAGGTGCACGTGCATGCGCAGTACCTCAGCGGCAGCACAGCACATCATAGTGGCGCATCCCGGCGTCCACACTCCTCTTCCCAAGGTGCTGCCTGGAGCACAAAGCCCTCCTGCAGAGACAGGCCAGGGCGCCCTCTGCCCGGAGAGCACTCCACAGCAGTTACTGTTTGCTGTTCACTTTGGTGTCCTTACACAAGCTGTTGTTTCCCTCCCAGTACCTGTCCCTCACGTGCCTCTCACGTGTTCTGTCATCCGTCTCCAAAGCCGGTACTCCATCAAGGCCACGTCACATGCCACGGGCTCTATGAACTTTTCTTGTGCATGCACACCCGAAGGAGGGCAAACGTGGTTCCAGCTCATCCAGCCCTTTCTGACGTATGTGTGCCTCCTACATTGCGACTCAAAGCTGGGTCCAATCTCTTGGAGGTGGTTAAAAATGTTTTAGAAATGTACAAGCTCAGGCCCCACGCTGAGCCTCCCGAACTAGACCACACATTTTAACAAAACACTGGGAGCTTTGCCCACACGCACCAGTTTGAGAAGTGCAGTCTGTAAGCCCAGAGACTCTTTAAAGGAGCTGTGTCTTTCAAGATGCACCCTCCCCTCCCGGTATCTGCATGGTTTTGTTTTGTTTTTTTTGGTATCATTAGTCTACAATTACATGAAGAACATTATGTTTACTGGGCTCCCCCCTTCATCAAGTGCCCCCCACAAACCGATTACAGTCACTTTCCATCAATATAGTAAGATGCTACAGAAACCCTACTCCTCTTCTATGGCTTGCACAGCCCTCCCCGTGCCCCCCACCCCACTACACATGCTAATCATAATGCCCCCTTTCCTTTTCTCCACCCTTATCAATCCCGTCCCAACCATCCTCCTCAGCCCCTTTCCCTTTGGTAACTGTTAGTCCATTCTTAGGTTTGGTGATTGTTTTGCTGTTTGTTCCTTCAGCCAGACTTATTAAGAGAAAAAGAGAGTCAACGTACATCAACATAATCAGAAGTGAGAAAGGAAAAATCACGATGGACTCCACAGAAATACAAAGAATTATTAGAGAATACAAGCTGGAAAACCTAGGAGAAATGGACAACTTCCTAGAAAAATACAACCATCGAAGACTGACTCAGAAAGAAACAGAAAATCTAAACAGAGCAACTACCAGCAACGAAATTGAATCAGTAATCAATAAACTACCCAAGAACAAAACCCCGGGGCCAAATGGATCTACCTCGAGATTTTATCAGACATGCATAGAAGATATAATACCCATTCTCCTTAAAGTTCTCCAAAAAATTAGAAGAGGAGGGAATACTCCCAAACTCATTCTAGGAAGCCTTCATCACCCTAATACCAAAACCAGGCAAAGACCCCACCAAAAAAGAAAATTACAGACCAATATCCCTTATGAATGTAGATGCAAAAATACTCAATAAAATATTAGCAAACAGAATTCAACAGTATATCAAAAGGATCATAGAAGATTACAGTCACTTTCCATCAATATAGTAAGATGCTACAGAAACCCTACTCCTCTTCTATGGCTTGCACAGCCCTCCCCGTGCCCCCCACCCCACTACACATGCTAATCATAATGCCCCCTTTCCTTTTCTCCACCCTTATCAATCCCGTCCCAACCATCCTCCTCAGCCCCTTTCCCTTTGGTAACTATTAATCCATTCTTAGGTTTGGTGATTGTTCTGCTGTTTTGTTCCTTCCGTTTTTCTTTGTTCTTATACTCCACATATGAGTGAAGTCACTGGGTACCTGTCTCTCTCCACAAGGCTTATTTTACTAAGCATAATTCCCTCTAGCTCCATCCATATTGTTGAAAATGGTATGATTTGTCTTCTTCTTATCGGCTGAATAGTATTCCATTGTGTATATGTACCACATCTTCTTTATCTATTCATCCACTGATGGGCACTTAGGTTGCTTCCATTTCTTGGCTATTGTAAATAGTGCTGTGATAAACATAGGGGTGCATCAATCTTTTTCCAACTGGGCTGCTGCATTCTTAGGTTAAATTCCTAAAAGTGGAATTCCTGGGTCAAATGGTATTTCTGTTTTGAGCACTTTGAAGAAACTCCATACTACTTTCCACGATGGCTAAAATAATTTACATTCCCACCAGCAGTGTAGGAGGGCTCCCCTTTCTCCACAACCTCACCAACATTTGTTGTTGCTTGTCTTTTTGATGGTGGCGATCCTTACTGGTGTGAGGTGATATCTCATTGTGGTTTTAATTTGCATTTCTCTGATGATTCGCGATGTGGAGCATCTTTTCATGTGTCTGTTGACCATCTGAATTTCTTCTTTAGATAACTGTCTATTCAGCTTCTCTGCCCATTTTTTAATTGGATTATTTGTATTTTGTTTTTTGAGGTGCATGAGCTCTTATATATTTTGCATGTCAGCCCTTTTTCGGATCTGTCATTTATGAGTTTATTCTCCCATACTGTAGGATACCTTTTTGTTCTATTGATGGTGTCCTTTGCTGTATAGAAGCTTTTCAGCTTGAGATAGTCCCACTTGTTCATTTTTGCTTTTGTTTCCCTTGCCTGGGGTGATATGTTCATGAAGAAGTCGCTCATGTTTATGTCTAAGAGATTTTGCCTAAGTTTTTTTCTAAGAGTTTTATGGATTCATGACTTACATTCCGGTCTTTGATCCATTTCAAGTCTACT